CCGGTTACGGGAGGCCCCTGTATCACTTCCCCTATAAATCCCGAGGAGCCGCGCACAAAGGGAATTTTTCCCGGAAACGTGAAGCTATTGTTGACATCCTTAGACCTGAGCGCTTTAGTTGAAATATTTTGAGGTTAGGTAACACAAGGCTGGATAAGCTGTTATAGTATTATTACATTGTGTGATCTTCATTCACGAAAAGTTGAAAATGTCTTCTTAACAAATTTAGATATTCAGAGGTATAGAAATTTTCCTTTTGCAAATTGCAAAATTCAAAAATGTAGAAAACGTATTAGAAACTTAAAAATTGAGACATGTGACCTATTCATGCGCCAACCCGTGGGTTGACATCGGTACGTGTTTCTTCTTTTTCTTTCTACGGCGACTGTAAATGCAAAATTACAGTGCTAGCTTTAGCGTATGTGAGCGTAGAATGACACTAGCTCGAGGGGATGATCGCTTTAACGAGGAGGAACGAACACTCGTTTCTTCCTTTACGTTTTGCTGTGCTTTTCTACATGGTGTCCTCTCTAACTTCGTTACAGGGAAATACTTGCACCTTTAGAACAGTGGAAAGCATTTTTGCGAATATCGAACAGTGATACGGGACTCTACGGTACAGTAGACTCTCCTTCTATTACTGCGTTTGGATGAGGGAGGAAAGAGGAATGATTGTATGGGTTCGGTTAGGTTAGGTTGTATGGGTTGTATAAGAATCATTGTAGATTTTGTACGTTTCATTTTTGTGGATTTTTGGTTTTATCGTTTTTTGTATTTGGGAAGCTTGAAAATTTGGACACTTAAGAAATTCAGAAAATTCAGATATTCAGAAAATTGAGATACTTTCAGAAGCTTCAAAAGATTAAGAAAATTGATGACATTCAAAAAAATTGAGAAGATTGAGAAAATTCAGAAAATTCAGAAAATTCAGAAAATTCAGAGAATCCACAAAATTAAGAAAATTCAGAAAATCCACAAAATCATAAAATTGAGAAAATCCACAAAATGAAGAAAATGCAGAAAATGAAATAATTAAGAAAACCGTAAAAAAACGAAAATTTACCGACGTGAAAATCCAGGCCGGTTCATGAATTAACCAATTTCCGAGTTTACATCTGTACACTTATCCAGGTTGACCCTCCTTTGCATCCGGCCGTCCGGGCAAATTTATAGCAGCCCGTGAACAAGCGGGCACTTATTTTGCTCGAAAATGTAAGCTGACACGATACAATTTCGTCCTCTCGTTCTTCGACTTGGTTTCGCGGGTAGAATCATCGTTTTCCCGGTTACGGGAGGCCCCTGTATCACTTCCCCTATAAATCCCGAGGAGCCGCGCACAAAGGGAATTTTTCCCGGAAACGTTGAAAGCACGAGAAACATTTTAAGCGGAACACCCTGTACAGTTATTATATACGTCCGCGAAAATACGCGGGCCAGTCTGTTCCCTCGGCGAATTCCCATTTGGGAAAGAGTGGTTGCTCAAACTCCTGTCACGTTCCATTTTATCGATCGGCAATCGTGGCGAAATAAATGATCTCGCCACTCGATCGTCCGGCCTTTCCTTCCCCAGTCGATTATCGGTCTTCTCTATGGGGCTGATTTAAAACAACAGATCGAATCGATAGCCCGTGTACCGCACATCGATTCGTCGTAAAAAAGTTCGCTCTTCTTTCTCGTCGCCCAGTTTTGTTTCTCGGTCAATCGTTTCGTCGATTAATTATTCTCTTGATTTTCGACGGACAGGAATGCGTGGGCGAAAGTAACAGTCTCGTAGAAGGGATCGAGTTCTCGAGGGGAGCGTTTTAACGCCCATTACGAACTTTGGATGAGGGTTGCTTGCTATCTGGCTCGACGTCTTGAATCATACACGTCGTCAATTCGCTGCCATTAGCTCCAAGCGTTTTTGGGATTATTGAATGTTCTACGCTTTCGTGTTCTTCGATTTCTTCGTTCGATTTGGGTTATTTACGGTCGTGTACAAAATTAGGGTACGAAACTGTTGTGGATTCAAACACGTTTCAAGTTTGATTTTTATTTTGTAATGAAAATAGTGAAGTTTTTTAAATGTTCTCAAGTTCTAGTTAATGTAGTTATGTATTATTTTGAAGGAAGAACGAAATCGGTGTGAAATTTGTATGACATGTATGAGTTGTTAATAGGGGAAGTTCAGTAAGACGCACCTGGTGCGTCACTGTTATTCGGTATAATAGGCAAGTAATAGTTTCTTAAATATATATATGTTGTAGTTAATGCGGTTATATTTCGGAAGAAACACTAAATCAATGTAAAATTTGTATGAGGTGTACAAGCTGTTAATAGAGTAAGTTCAGTAAGACGCACCTGGTGCGTCACTGTTATTCGGTATAATAGGCAAGTAATAGTTTCTTAAATATATACATGTTGTAGCTAATGCGGTTATATTTCGAAAGAAACACAAAATCAATGTAAAATTTGTACGACCTGTATCAGCTATTAATAGTGTAAGTTCAGTAAGACGCACATGGTGTGTCATTGAAATTTGTTATCAGAACTCGAAGAATTTACAAGAGAATTTAAAAACATGCAATTTGCAAATTTATAAATTTGATGTAAAATTTGTATGACATGTACAAACTGTTAATAGGAGCAGAAGAGTAAGACGCACATGGTGCGTCATTGAAATTTGTTATTAAAACTCGAAGAATTTGCAAGAGAATTTAAAAATATGCAATTTGCAAATTTACAAAATTAATGTAAAATTTGTATGACATGTATAAATTGTTAATAGGAGCAGAAGAGTAAGACGCACATGGTGCGTCATTGAAATTTGTTATTAAAACTCGAAGAATTTGCAAGAGAATTTAAAAATATGCAATTTGCAAATTTACAAAATTAATGTAAAATTTGTATGACATGTATAAATTGTTAATAGGAGCAGAAGAGTAAGACGCACATGGTGCGTCATTGAAATTTGTTATTAAAACTCGAAGAATTTGCAAGAGAATTTAAAAATATGCAATTTGCAAATTTACAAAATTAATGTAAAATTTGTATGACATGTATAAATTGTTAATAGGAGCAGAAGAGTAAGACGCACATGGTGCGTCATTGAAATTTGTTATTAAAACTCGAAGAATTTGCAAGAGAATTTAAAAATATGCAATTTGCAAATTTACAAAATTAATGTAAAATTTGTATGACATGTATAAATTGTTAATAGGAGCAGAAGAGTAAGACGCACATGGTGCGTCATTGAAATTTGTTATTAAAACTCGAAGAATTTGCAAGAGAATTTAAAAATATGCAATTTGCAAATTTACAAAATTAATGTAAAATTTGTATGACATGTATAAATTGTTAATAGGAGCAGAAGAGTAAGACGCACATGGTGCGTCATTGAAATTTGTTATTAAAACTCGAAGAATTTGCAAGAGAATTTAAAAATATGCAATTTGCAAATTTACAAAATTAATGTAAAATTTGTATGACATGTATAAATTGTTAATAGGAGCAGAAGAGTAAGACGCACATGGTGCGTCATTGAAATTTGTTATTAAAACTCGAAGAATTTGCAAGAGAATTTAAAAATATGCAATTTGCAAATTTACAAAATTAATGTAAAATTTGTATGACATGTATAAATTGTTAATAGGAGCAGAAGAGTAAGACGCACATGGTGCGTCATTGAAATTTGTTATTAAAACTCGAAGAATTTGCAAGAGAATTTAAAAATATGCAATTTGCAAATTTACAAAATTAATGTAAAATTTGTATGACATGTATAAATTGTTAATAGGAGCAGAAGAGTAAGACGCACATGGTGCGTCATTGAAATTTGTTATTAAAACTCGAAGAATTTGCAAGAGAATTTAAAAATATGCAATTTGCAAATTTACAAAATTAATGTAAAATTTGTATGACATGTATAAATTGTTAATAGGAGCAGAAGAGTAAGACGCACATGGTGCGTCATTGAAATTTGTTATTAAAACTCGAAGAATTTGCAAGAGAATTTAAAAATATGCAATTTGCAAATTTACAAAATTAATGTAAAATTTGTATGACATGTATAAATTGTTAATAGGAGCAGAAGAGTAAGACGCACGTGGTGCGTCACTGTTATTCAGTATAATAATAGCCAAGTCTTTTAAATGTATACATGTCATAGTTAATACGATTAAATTTCGAAAGAAACATAAAATTAATGTAAAATTTATATAACGTGTATAAGCTGTTTCAGTAAGACGCACCTGGTGCGTCATTCAAATTTATTATTAAAACTCGAAGAATTTAAAGAGAATTTAAAAACATGCAATTTACAAATTTGATGTAAAATTTGTATGACATGTATAAACTGTTAATAGGGGCAGAAGAGTAAGACGCACCTGGTGCGTCACCATAATTCAGTATAATAATAGTCAAGTTTTTAAAATCTATACATGTCATAGTTAATGCAATTATATTTCGGAAAACACACGAAATCAATGCAAGATTTGTATGACATTCATAAGCAGTCAATAGGGTAAGTAGAGTGGGACGCATCTGGTGCGTCATTGAAATTTCTTATTAGGAGAAATTGAAAAAAAATTACAAGTTTAGAATCACAAAAATTGCAAGTTTCTTACGAATTAAAAAACTTAAAAATTCGAAATCTTGAAGGTATATGTACCCTAAAAATATGACCAAACATTGATACAAGTAATGTTATCACCCTCTATGGGTTTCTATTTAGAAACCCAAATTTCTATTTAGAAATATAGAAATATCTTTGCTAACTTAACAAATAAAAAACCTAAATATTTGAAACGTCGAACGTACAACACACACCTTAAAAAATGACCAATTTTCTCTGACGATTAACGTCAACCCCGTACGAATCCATACGTATCCCCCATAAAATTCCTCCAACACCCCAATTCGAAATTTTGGATCCATATCCGTTATATCGCAATCTCCCTAGATCCCCGAGATATTTATGCAACGAACAAAAATCCATTTTTTACTCTTTTTTCTGTGCGCAGGCAGTGTTCGTGTATCAAATGTACACGTACGAGTTAGCATCGTACGGCGAATACGTATTCCCAGTTTGGGCGAATGTGATTGGAATACTAATCGGTTTGTCGACCCTGGCGCCCCTGCTCTTCTTTTTCCTGCATCGGCTCTGGAGGGATCCGGTAAGTTTGTCATGATTTGCAATAATCGAACGGTCGAATGCCTCTTGGTGAATTTCTGTCGTACGAACGATAGTGTAAGCGCATTAATTCGTTGACCGATTATCCAGAATTGCGCGATATCAAATCGCGCAGTTACGCCGGGAATGGACGGTTACAAGCCGAATCGAGATATCAGCCGGAATAATGCTCGACAAACCGGCAATTATTATGCAAACTGCTGCCAGTTTTTACGATACTCGCTGCTTAAAGCGCCGTAGTGTTTAGTGTTTACGATCCCGACTGTAATAACCTATTACTGCTCAGTGCTACATTTTTTCTTCTTTCTCTTTGGAAATGTTCAGGAACGTAACGAGAACGTTTCAAGTTTTTACTGCTCGCTTTACAGGCAGCCTGTTATAATTTTATCGTTCGTTTACGCCTCCATCTTTCCTTTTTACTATATTCGGCAATACTACATGTAACCTTGTCTCTATATTCACAGTATGTTTAAAATTTAACGAAAAGCGCCATTTATTAAAACATGTTATCTGAAAACAGTATACTTCCTTTACAAAACACAGCAATCATTATTGGAATCAAAATGAGACTTCGTGCTTTAAGTATGAACATCAAACTCCAGGCTCTCCAAAGTCAAAAAAAATTGCGATTCTATAAGAAAGTCAGAAGTTCCTCAAAGTCAAAGTCAGTCAAAGAGCGTCCATGTTGGAGGACATGTGTGAGCGGCCATTACAGTGTCAATCACAAATATAAAAAAAAAGTATAAATACAAGAAAGAAAATAACAGTCAACAAAAATAGTGTACAAGTTAAATCACATTTAACAATCACAAAGAAAAAATAGAGGTAGCAAGAAAGAATATTTCCTACAATAAATTTTTGTTGACGCAGTTTCGAAAATCGTATAAAATGCTTTCAATACATCGTCCCTAAATTTCGTACAATGCGGGGAGAATCGCAAAAGTAAATGTTTGCTTACAATTCAAGACCGCGCTATTTCGTTCTTTTTACCAGACCGTGCACATGTGTGGAATTATATTATTAGACGAACCTCTTCCGTGAATCGTACACGTGGGTATCCTAACTCAACGGTTCCCCATGGTAAGATTCTCATCACGAAGTTTTGCCGTGAAATTTAATAGATAGCTCCGAGTACCGACGCACATCTTCATTTCGGTTGTCTTCGTACGGAGAAATCAGTTATGTCTTTTACATTCCTATAGCATTGTACATATCGATTTGTTACAGCAACAATATCAGTAAATGTCTCAGTATGTATATGTGGTAATCAGTAAAAAGTTTCATTTGCTGAAGTGCATCTCGCGGCAGCCATTTTGAGAAGAGTGGTCACGTGACTTCGGTAGATAGAACTGTAAGAGGTTATTGAAGTAAAACTTGTTTAGTTACTCCTTGTGTATATAAGAATATTAGCACAATAATAGTAACAACACAAATTAACAAAGTAAGTTTATTCTAATCTATTTGTCTGCTATCATAATACTTAGAAGTTAAAGAAATTTTTCTTCGTTAAACTGCATCTTGCGGCAGCCATTTTGAGAAGAGTGGTCACATGACTTCGGTACATAGAACTGTAAGAGGTTATTGAAGTAAAACTTGTTTACTTACTCCTTGTGTATATAAGAGTATTAGCATAATAATAGTAACAACATAAATTAACAAAGTAAGTTTATTCTAATCTATTTGTCTGCTATCATAATACTTAGAAGTTAAAGAAATTTGTCTTCGTTAAACTGCATCTAGCGGCAGCCATTTTGAGAAGAGTGGTCACGTGACTTCGGTAGATAGAACTGTAAGAGGTTATTGAAGTAAAACTTGTTTAGTTACTCCTTGTGTATATAAGAATATTAGCAGAATAATACTAACAAAGCAAATTAATAAAATTTTATTTTAATCTATTTGTCCTATCATCGTACTTAGAAGTCAATGAAATTTTTCTTCGCTGAACTGCATCTTGCGGCAGCCATTTTGAGAAGAGTGGTCACGTGACTTCGGTAGATAGAACTGTAAGAGGTTATTGAAGTAAAACTTGTTTAGTTACTCCTTGTGTATATAAGAGTATTAGCACAATAATACTAACAAAGCAAATTAATAAAATTTTATTCTAATCTATTTGTCCTATCATCGTATTTAGAACTCAAAGAAATTTTTCTTCGCTGAACTGCATCTCGCGACAGCCATTTTGTGAAGAGTAGTCACGTGACTTCGGTAGATAGAATTGCAGTAGACTTCTCAGTTTTTTCACGTAAAGATATTAGTAGAATAATAAAAACGCATGGAAATCGTAAGAATGAAATCTTGAAAGACGAAAGCGAATTTCTTTGCGAATAAACGTAATGCGAGTTGGTTGTTCACGGCGGTAAATTCTCATCGCTAGGGAAATAGTAGAGAGCATTTCAAGATATCTCGATAATAATTCCGGGCGTCGACGAATCGGGAATTTTTTAAGGAACTGCATAGGTTCGAGTTGCGGTAGCCTCGGGAGGCGTGCACCGTTTTAAAAAGTTGCGCTCCCTCAACCGTAAAAATCTCGCGAACTTTCAACGTCTTAATACAAGTTTTTCCACGGTACGTAGGTAATCGTACTTTGAAACGAAAAGTTTCGTTCACGCTCCATCGTTCGGATCGAACCTACTATTTCTACCGTTACTTCTGTTCTCCCTTGACCGTTTCCGCTTTGTGTTAGCCGATAAATTTACTATTACTCTTATCTTCTTCCCTCCTGTTTTCGACTGCCCGCACAGTTTCGAAACTAGTTGTGCGGTTCGCGGAGATATGACCCAGGCCAACGGGAAAGAAAAGAGAATCACCTGTGAGGATAGCCCGAAAGAAACTTCGCCTTTCTCGATACACCGATCTTCTTCGATAAACGGTTAACGTTATCGTGTTGCTTTCATTTCGGATCTTTAATCGTCTTTCTCTTGCGGAAAATTTTCAACAAATACAGCTACGATCATTTCAATTCCTATCTTTTCTTATCGTTTTTTGGATTGCCTTTCGAGGAGATCGCAAATACCCTATTCCAAAGGTTATCGTTTTTTTTACATTCCTTATCTTCTTATTTCACTATTTGGTATGTTACATTAGCTTAAACTCTTCTTTCATAAATACTGGAAAATTTAAATTCATGAACAGTCATCGAATATATGATGACGCACCAGGTGTGTCATTGAAGTACACCTACTGTGATCTTATGTTTGTTATATATTACATATTTTGCTGGTAGTATCAGTGGTATATATTATACAAACACATAATACAAGGAAAATTCAGATTTAGCAGTCATTGAATATAAGTCGACGCACCAGGTGCGTCATTGAAGTACACATACTGTGATCTTATGTTTGTTATATATTACATATTTTGCTGGCAGTATCAGTGGTATATTATACAAATGCCTAACACAGGAAAATTCATTGATTGATGAGCACTCATCGAATACAAGCTGACGCACCAGGTGCGTCACTGGATTACACATACTGTCATATTATTTTTTTTATATGTATATTTTTCTGTTAGTATCACTTGCATATATTATATGAATACGTAATACCAAGAAATGCAGATTTATGAGCAGTCATCATATAGAAGATGACGCACCTGGTGCGTCATCAAAATGTATTACATACTGTGATCTTATTTTTTTTATACATTTCATATTTTTTTGGTACCATCCCTATGTATTACACAAATACATAGTAACTTACAAGTGTCCCTTATCAATAGAGTACGATAAGTTTGCAGATCAGAATTAATTATGAATCGATAAGTCGTAAAAGATTTTTATGATCTGTTTCTCCCCGGTCATAAATTAGTCGAGTAATTTATTATTTATGGAACGAGTTGACGAATGGATTCGAAAAAGCATTCGATCGATCAGGAGGTCCGCGAACAATTCACCGTTCTCCGTGGAATCTTTCATCGAGTTTACGGTTCTACAGCGTAGTTCAAATAAAACGCTGAAACGTTTACTCTATCTGTTTGCATAAACCCGACCCGGCGATTGTTCAAAGAATCTGACTTTCGGTTTAATTGTCCGCAGTGGGATCGGAGTTTGTTTCGACCCGCGAAGACGTGGGGACCGGCCGTCGGGAAAAATGCGGACAACGAGGACCCCTTTACGGCGACCGTCAAAAACGAACAAGCGACGTGAGACAAAAGGCGAGAGTTTGTTAAACTCAATAAAATTATTTTATATGGTTTTACACAATATTCTGTTTCGGATATTGGCACGTTCGCTATCGGTGTTAGGTGCTTAGATATAATCTGCAAAATTTTTTTTTGCGGAAAGGATTAATGTGAAGTCGATGAATACTGTGCTGATAAATTATGATACGGATATTTTATAAATCTAATCTGACATAAACTTAATCTCACTTAACCTTAAAACCATTTTAATCTAACATCAACCTTCAGACATCAGAGACTTAAAATGTAACCTAAAATGGTGGATAAGTAATGTAATACTAAATCATCCACAAGATTAATAATATTCTAACCTAAAAACATTGCAAATATCTCTGATGAAAATAATACTACAAACCTAACATTCAAAGAGTCAAAATATAACCTAAAATGGTGGACAAACTGTGTAATACTAAATCATCCATAAAATTAATAATATTCAAACCTAAAAACATTGCAAATATCTCTGAAGAAAATAATACTGTAAATCTAACCTTCAAAGAGTCAAAATATAACCTAAAATGGTGGGCAAACAGTGTAATACTAAATCATCCACAAAATTAATAATATTCTAACCTAAAAACATTGCAAATATCTCTGATAAAAATAATACTGTAAACCTAACCTTCAAAGAGTCAAAATCTAACCTAAAATGGTGGACAAACTGTGTAATACTAAATCACCCACGAAATTAATAATATTCTAACCTAAAAACATTGCAAATATCTCTGATGAAAATAATACTGCAAACCTAACCTTCAAAGAGTTAAAATCGAACCTAAAATGGTGGACAAACTAAATCACCCACGAAATTAATAATATTCTAACCTAAAAACATTGCAAATATCTCTAACAAGAATAATATTGTAAACCTAACCTAACTCGAAAGACGTAACCTAAAATGTCTGAAAAAGAGTATAATAATAAATCATGTATGGCGTGAACAATGTTGTTTGACGTTGCTAGATGAACTTCTTAAAACGAACGCCGGTAGCGAACGTGTTAATTTCTTGGCTTTAAAGTTTAAATGTTTCCCCTGTAAACACTGCATCCTGATTTTCCCGCCATACGCGAGCTTTATGAACGCATTTTCTATTCACTCGGTTCGAACTAACTCGAGTAACAATTAAGAGTTTCAGCATGGAAGTTTCGGGGAAGCTTGCCCGGGTGAATAAGTGGAGAACGAAGAGCTACGATTTCATATTTTCCAATACACCTTGTAACAACTGCGAACTACCTTTTCGTTCCCTCAACTTTTTAAATTAATACCGCGCGAACAACGGTTCGAAGTAATGTTTTAACTTTCGACCAAGGATAACTACGGTAATGTGAGGGTGGCAATTAACTCGGAATTTTTTAACGAAATTCGCTTCGCTGCTCTTTTCATTCGGATTCTTGATCTTGCTATATAATTTTAATTTATTGTAGCTGAATTGTACTGTGCGTCAGGAGTGCGTCACATTATAAATTAAGGGTTGAGAAGCATAATCTTCAAAGTTACAGAGATATACTATAAAAGTAACACTATGTTTCAGACTTTTATTTTTATTTAATATTTTGTCAATTTTTAAATTGTGAACAGCTGATAAAGACTTTCCCAAAAAATGATATCCAAAGACTTCATCCATCTCCAAATTCATAAACCTAAATTCTCAATTCTAATTCCTAAATTCTCAACTTTTCAATCTGCTCTAAAATTCTTAACCCAACCCATGATCTCTGTATCTCTAAAATATCAGCGAAAAACCTAGCACGGTTGGCAAATTTTTCCTAAAAAAGTCGCATCCTCTGTTCTGCCGCATCCAGGAACAGGACTCTTCAACGTTATAATAAAATAGATTTGATAATTTTTGAAGTTGCAACAAGGAACTTGAAGTGACTCGTCACTTGGTATAACTTTGTCAGACCATTCAGCAGAGGCTGGCGACTCAAATTATTACATTCTGACACTCGATATCGAACAGAAGGTGTGGTCAGTTCCTACAGGTTTCCATAGGCCATCAGATCGAATGACCAACGTTCATGGGCCCGCAATCCTGAATAGCAAAGTTTGCGTTAAGGTCCTCAGAAGAATGTTGCGTCAGACCTACCCTCGTGGTCCAATTTCGACATCAAAGATCCCTTTTCTGTTAAATAAAACCGACACTTTCTGCTTTGGAATTTATTCTGATCGTCATCTATCAAGAAGCCACCGATCGGTCGTCCAGTAACCCGCCCGCGATTTCATCCTCGAAGAGCCACTTTTTTCTTCTGCTCCTCTGGTTCGGGCATAACGTTCCGCATATATCCGTAAAACGTAAAACGAGTACCGTGTTGCAGAGCACTGATGACTTCAGAAGACCCAAAATTCGAAACCAGCCAAATTTCCACAGGGTCGAATTTCCGCGCAGCGTAACAGACCGCGTGGACATCAGCGCGACAAGGCTCGCGTTCTGATTATCGGGTACATGTCTGCCCACGGAAAAGTGGCGAATGTAGCGGCTACAATCCCGTGTTACCTTCTAATTAATGCGATGGAACATCTCCGGTACGAGGAATTCCGTGTCCCGTCGCAATATCGTGCGGCCGTCTACGGAGCTTGTACCGCGTCTTATGGGGAATGCGGAGGCGACGAGAGTGCGGCTTGCGCTCCGCGCTAATGAGAATTTCACTCGGTCTCCCAGCAATTCACTGCGACACGCGTCTCTCCGCCGATCGATCAGCTTTTTTCTTCTGCGCCGAATATGGCTCCGCTAAATTGCGTCTCGATCCTGAATTATCCGTTCCATGCATTTTTATAAGATCGCTGTGACACCGTCACGTGGAGCTATCGGTTCTTTCCTTCCTTGTCGAATGCTGTAAGTACGTGGACTCGGAACTTTGCCTCGTCGAACGATAGCATCGATATTACTCTCCAGGATGACAACTTAGTGGGTACTGTAATTGCTTGTCAATATGGCTGTTTTATGACAGACAGAGTGGGTCTTGACGCACGTGGTGCGTCGTCTACTGAGGTTAGATGTACAGTGAGATGATAATAGATGCGTCACGAGCTGATTTTTGGTGCGTCACAAGTTGACTTTAGGTGCATCATGAGTCGATTTTAGATGTTTCATTAGCTGATTTCATATACATCACGAATCGATTTAAAGTGCGTCACAAATTAATCTTAGTTGCGTTACAAGCTCACTTTAGGTGCATCACAAGCTGATTATTGATACGTCACAAGCTGATTTTAGGTGCGTCATGAGTCGATTGTTGGTGCGTCGTGAGCTAAGTTTAGGTGCGTCACGATTTTATTTCAGATGCGTCGTGAGTCGATTTTAGATGCGTCACAGATCAATTTTAGGTGCGTCATGCGCTGACTTTTGTGTGCGTCACAAGTCAATTTAAGGTGCGTCACGATTCTATTTCAGGTGCGTCACGATTGTATTCCAGGTGCGTCACAATTGTATTCCAGGTGCGTCGTGAACCTATTTTCGATGCGTCACAAATCAATTTTAAGTGCGCCAAACGCTGACTTCTATGTGCGTCACAGGTCAATTTTAGGTGTGTCATGATTACATTTCAGGTGCGTCACGATTGTATTTCAAATGCGTCATGAGCCGATTTTAGATGCGTCACAAATTAATTTTATGTGCGTCACGATTACATTTCAGGTGCGTCACGATTGCATTTCAGGTGCGTCACGATTGTATTTCAAGTGCGTCATGAGCCGATTTTAGGTGCGTCGTGAACCTATTTTCGATGCGTCACAAATCAATTTTAAGTGCGCCAAACGCTGACTTCTATGTGCGTCACAGGTCAATTTTAGGTGTGTCATGATTACATTTCAGGTGCGTCACGATTGCATTTCAGGTGCGTCACGATGGTATTTCAAGTGCGTCATGAGCCGATTTTCGATGCGTCACAAATTAATTTTAAGTGCATCGTAGGTCGATTTGAGGTGCGTCACGAATCCACTTTTGGTGCGTCATCTCTGTATAGCAGATTTTAAGTGCATCGAGTTAATGTTAAGATTTGAAATATCTTGATACTCATATAAGAATATTGATATTTCGAAAATTTTAATATTTAGCAAATCTTAAATGATTGATCTGGGAATTTTATAGATTTAGAGAAGTGCTGAGATTTAATTCTGAGATATGTGAAATTTTGACATTTTCGAAATATTAAAATTCGAGTACTTTAAAATCTTGATGTAAAATTTTCAAATTCATGAATTTATCATCCTATAACCTTGTAAATTAAATAAAATAAAGAAACTAAATTGACATCTGAAATGCACAATCACAAATCCTCGACCCAAAAGTAAAAATTTTCAAATTTTCAGACGAAAGAATTTAGAAAAGCGTTCAAAGGAGAATTGAACGCGTGATATACTGCAATACGATCGACGCACGTAGTTCTGATGTTTTGAAAGAATTCAAAGGGTCAACAGCGGTATCAAAGATATCGATCGCTCGTACTCCAGCGTGATCAAAATTTCTATCGAGATTATTCGTCTCGTTATCTTGCTTTGTACGCGATAGCAGTTCTTTCTGTTATCGGAACTTTTCTTTGAAAACGCAAACTATATTTTATCGTAGACGATTAATATGTGCAGTGACATTGTTATAACATGCAATTTTATATGTATCTACAAATATTTGTCGATGCTTTATAACTGCTATAGTTTCATATCTTTTTGTAATTGTTATTCTTGGAAAATTCGATTTCGAGACACTTGAAGTGTACAGATACCGATCTTCTAGTACTTGAAAAATTAATTAATTACAGATAAATGTGCGATAGAAGTGTTACGGGAGCTTAACGTATCAATAATTTTTGACTATGCAGTGTTTGATTTTATTTAGTGTCTGTACTTTGTATTTAATACTTGCAATCGGTATTCGATATAAAATGTAATATTTCTGTAATTTCATAAGTTATTTTATCTGACATTTTATGCTTCAGATATTCATTTACTATTTTCTTTGCAATCAATAGTTTTATTTTTTCTTTCAATATTTTCATTTAATTTCATTTCACTTCATTTA